TCTGGAGAAATTACAATTTACACATTAAAATTATTTAAAATAATATGTAAAATATGTTACACTGTGGATAAACATTTTAATCTCTAAGTGTAATAAATCATACAAATAACATTAAGATTGAAAAATAATAGATTGAGAATTGTTGCTTACTCAAGTAAGTAGATTTTATATCACTCAGTTCACACTTTCTTAACTAAAAATAAACCTCCAAACACACAGTGGTTTTACCCCTAAGTAGGTTTAATGCAACCTGTCCTTCAAAAGTGTATTAATTTTGTGAATTTTTATTTGGGAAAATAAATTTGTTACTGAAATAATTGGGTTTACTTCACTTGTTAAAGAATGAAAATGTTGTTGCTTTCAATATTAATTAGGAAACAACACAAAATTTTTGCATTTTTTTATTTCAAATTAATTTATTTTAAAGTGCAGTAGATTTACAAATTTACTTATAAAATAATTGCTTATAAAATTTTTTGCAATTCGGTAGGAAGATCAGCAATAATTAAATAGAAGTGTTTATTCCTCATCAGATATTCTTAGAAATAATAATAATAAGAGCTTTAAAACCTAATACACAAGATAATTGCAGACCATTGTAAAGGATTACCTTTGCCATTTGATACCATCAAGAAATCAAAGAACTGTTCCTAGTGACTCCTTCCAGGTATTGATTGAATAGAAAGCCCATTAGTACTCAGATTAAATTTCAACTTCTAATATTCATCTTTATATATGAAAGAATAAACATTATTGCACTTTCTTATTATTTAAACACTTGAAATTGTCATTTCCCAATTAATAAAATTAGTATTTTTTCTCTTGCACTCAATGGGAATTTGTAAATTGTAAATGCTGAAGTTATGAAATCATATAATAAATATAGTGTTACATCAGAATACTATTCAGCGGTTCACTGCTTTGTGACTGAAAAAAAAAAATCTCCAAATAGTTGCTAAATTAATACACCAACAGTTCAGATGTCTACCCTCCTTCATTTTAGTAAAGTGAATGTGATTTTATTTTAAAAAACCTAAAAGTTACAATATTTAAGCTTCTCTATTTTGATATTACTATATGAGAAGATTTAATTTATTTGAACATGAAGATCAAATTAATAACATAAATCTACTAAGGATTAGCATTTTCTTTAATTTATGGATTGTAAGAAGTCAGTCTGTCAAAAGCCTTATCTTATAAAAGTGTCTGTCTTTTCATAAAGAAGATAAAATTAAATTTAAATATCTTCACAATAAAATAATAGCTACTGTGCTTCAGCAAATATGGTATTTTTCTTGTTAAATACTGCATAATAGTAAAACTCAGGTGGAACCATCCCACAGGAACCAAGAATATTTGATATTTACATTAAAATTAGTTGCATCAACATTTGTTCTCAAGAAGTCATAACACTATTGTGACACTAAGAAATTCACACATAACAGAATCTTTTGTATGAGGAATTATGTTTTTTCTTCAATTTGTTTGTCTTTATTTTTTTTTATTTTTTTCTTGGCTTGTCATTGGGAAGCATTCTTTCCTCTCTGTTATTTATGAAAGAAATGGGAAAAATAAATAAATATGGCAGGAAAAATGTTAGTAGAACAATGTAGACAAGTTAAGACTAGAGTAGCGATGTAGAAGAAAGTGCTGTGTCTAGCAGCACTTGACCTTTCCCATGTCCTCACTCTTACAGAGCTGAAACAGTACACAGGGAAGATTCGTAGAAGATTTCAACATTAATCCAAAATCCTGAACATAATTACAAACACATTTCAGGTTTTCTTTTAAACGAATAAGAAGTTTATGCTAAGCCACATGCTCTTCCCATTGTACCATTTATCCTGGAAATATTTAAATATTAGATTCAATTTTCTAAAATAATAAGAATTTTAGAATCTTTCTCTAATCAGTGTTTTTTTAGTTTTATGATAATATGAACATAATAAAATAACAGCAAGAAATAAAGGATCTTGATATAGTACTACAATGGAGCATCAAAGTTTTGGAGGCCCACTACTTTATTTCAGTTACCTCTTGCAAAGTCATGCTTATGAAGAACTAATCAGGAGAGCAACTGTTTTGCATGTAATAATACACCAGTCTAGTAACCCAGAAAATGGTAGAATTTGTACATGTTTATATAATATGTGTGTGAAACCTTACACTTAAATATAGAGACTTCTTTCTACATACATCTGATTTACTTAGCTGTTGTACTCTAATAATTGTATTGAAAATAATCAACAGGTGCTATAATTTATAAATCATACATTTATGCTACAATATTGGGTTTCCTTACAACAAAATAGCTCATGGGAGCATGGTATCATACATGATTCAGTTCAAAGCAAATAAAATTGATTCTTATAGGATATCCTGCATATTTTACTTCAAGGTTATTGTTTAACTAATTCAAATGTGACATAAATGTCTTCTCCATCAGTCCAAAGCTGGAGATAGATGCACATATCTACACACAGAGACACAATGAGTGTGTTTATTATAACAAAACTTCAGAGACTAAAATACGAAAGAATTGACAAACTGAAATGTGAGAAGAATTTCTCTTGTGGGAAAAAACTCACTTTTGCCTCAAACTAAAAGTTAAAAAAGTACTATAACTTTGCAATTATCCCACCCAAAGTTTCAATTATTCTTACTGATTCCATATTTTATTAGTGAGCATTAGAAGCAGAAAAAAATGACTAAGAGATCCACATCAATACTAACACTAACATTATTTCCACCAATATATATGAGAATAATTTCTTTGACAAAATGCTATTAGCAACTGCATAGTTTAGGATGGTGTCTCATAAATATGTTGGGTATTGTGATTCACCTTCTGCAAATTCTTAGTTCCTACTGCTATATGCAAAGTATAAAAAAAAGAAAACACCAGTAATAACAATAAAGCATTAGACCATTCCTGTATATTGTCATTTTAATTGACTTAATTCTGATGGTGGAAGAAAGCTACTGATTGCTCAAGCTACATATTTACAAAACTTTGAATAAAAAGAGGTATGTTTGGGATGTGTTCCCATTTTCTTCTCATGTCTTTTTCATTTTTCATCTGTCTGTCTTACACTTTAAGATGTCTGTACCAGGTTCATACATAACCCTGTCTTTGGGCAACTTCCTCTTCTTCCTCTAATTTTACAAATCTAACCCAATACCAAACCCGAGCATTTTTGTTTTCAAGATTGAGAAAATAGAACAAGAATGTCCACAAATCATTCTCTCAAAAAGTCAAAATTACTTTTTTAGTTCAAGAGGCCCTTCCTTAATAGTTCTCCAGGAACCCTCTATATAGAAAGGTTTGTGACCCCAGCAATAGAGGCAGCTTAAGGCATTTCATATCTCCTTATGGCTATTCACCCCTTTCTCTAACTCTCTACCCTCCCAATCACTGCCTCTTGCATAGGTCCATTTTATGATTTTTTCTGCCACATTTTAACGTTTGAATAAGATCACATTAAACATTTAAATGAACGCAATCCAATCTTTAAAGGGTATTAAACGTATTTATGAATGTGAATAGTAAGAAGTTATGGATGCTAGGACCATCTGAAAATGGATGGATTCTGTAGCCTAAAACGAAAACAGACTATGCAGTTGATGATATCGTACAGACATTCAGTCCTTACCTGGTTAACTCCATGATGACAAACAAATCAAAAGAAAAAGTCCCCAGAATCTGAATCATTTGTCTCCAGGCTGCCTTGACAGCTTCACAGCTTGGGGCTTTCTTAGCTTGCATATATTTGACCGGCTCTCCTTTGCGAGCAAAGCTAGGGTTAATTTGTAACCCTGGTCACCTCCTCTTTTCTAACAGCTGTTTGGCAGCTCACACAGCAAGGAAAGTGCATTTTACCCTTTCAAATGGAGCTTACACTGCATCTCCCAGCATTAGTCCGCTTACAAGGAGGTCCCTGCTCTGAAGAACTGATCACGTTCTGGACCTAAAGGAAAGTACAAGGCTTTGTGCATCAACTCTTAGAGACTAGGGGAAACAGCCATCAAAGACTTCAACTCTGTCACTGTTTGGCTATAGTCGCAGCAGAACCCCGCAGCCTTGAAGTGTCACCCCCTCCCTGGTGGTCACCTCCGGAGCACAGGGCCCGATAATGGGTCTTATTAGTTCTCACCCCCACCTCCAAGAAAAGGGGTGAGCAAGGCAAAAACGAGAACTTTACAGTGGCTTTAGCATAAGCGTGTAGTTTCTAAAGCTCGAATTACGAATAACATTGCATTCCAAGCCTTGGCTCCAAGTTGAAAACCCAACTCACTTCATCCTACCGCTCACTAGATTCTGTGAGTTAGTGATGGAAGGAAAGGAAGGAGTGATGACGCTTAGCAATACTTTAACATTGATCTAAAAAAGTACTTCAGCTATCCTAAGCCCTACTAAACAAGCAGATAACTAAGGCGATCGGGGCTTTACAAAACAGTCATCCTGGAGAAGCACTGAGCGCTGTGCTTAGATTCAGCACATGAAAATAATAAAGAAATCGCAACACAGAAAGATGTTAAGAGATTGCAGTAAAGAAAAAAAAAAAACAAGTCTGTCATTCCCGCAGTAGAGGTTTGGGGACCCAGGAAGACTGGACAGCAGGCATTGCGGGGGGGGGGGGGGGGGTGTCGCAAAACCCTTGTGAGCCCACTCTCCTGGAAAGCAAACGTCCACCGCGAGCAGCAGGGCTGAGAGAGCAGTCAGCTCCAAAGGATCGGGGACTCCATCCCTACCCTCTCGCTCCCGCTCCCGCACCAGAACTGAGCCCTGGGCCAGTTAGGCGACCAGGCGTTTTGCCCTCTACGTCCCTAGAACCCAGGAGGCTTAGAGGTAGCTGAAAGCAGCGGCGAAATCTCCAGACACAGTCGCCTGTTGCTAGCCCTCTGGTTAAAGCATCCTTGGCTACTAGAGCCTGTTTCTTGTGTCAGTTTCCCTCATACAATACTGAGCTCAGGGTTCTAACATAGCAAAACGCACTTACCTAGACAGCGAATGTCTGTGCCTCACTGTGCCACACTGATTAAGCAGAAAACGGTCTGACTGCACTGAAAGTTTTCTCCTCTCTCTCTCTCTCTCTCTCTCTCTCTCTCTCTCTCTCTCTCTCTCTCTCTCTCTCTCTCCCCCTCCCTCCCTCCCTCCCTCCACCCTTGCGCAACAGCAGAAGTCCTCTAGAGAGGATATTTGAATTGGCGAATTACACCAAAGCCTCGTTTCTTCAAATGAAGTCACGGACGCTAGTGGCACTGGCTTGTCAGGCAGGACGGACTGAACTGGCAAAGACAGCAGGTAGAAACTAGCTCTGGGTGAGGGACGCCAAGAGGTGCGGACCACTGTGTCAGCCCCAAACCCCCTCCTACTCGGTGGGAGCCAAGGGGGAAAGCCCAGGAATCTGCGAGGAGGAGGGGGATGGGGCGGTGGTGCAGCTGGAGCACTTTTATGTCTGGAAGCTTAAAAGGCTTTTGAATTAAAAAGAAAGAAATCATTGCCTACGTTTGTCGCAGGGGCCATCAATGACTGGAATAGTTCTTTCCCAGAAATTAAAAAGAACCCCCCCCCCCAATTAACTTAGGGAAAAGACTCTTGAACAATAGAACCTCACCTCCATCCACCCCAATAAAGGGGGAAAGTCCAGAAACTTGTCCTTATTTGAGAGTTGGGGGGGGGGGTTAATCACAGAAAATCTCTCTCTGGGTGCTTTACAGATTACAGACACATGCAGACTTGTATTTGATAAATACCAAACACTTGCCCCAATGTGAAGTGAAAGCCAACATTTAAGTGTTTCTCATCACAGCTAGGTGGAATAGGAAGTGATCGTCAGTTAAAGCCCTTAGAAATGTCCATGAAAGCACAAGGCAAAGACCTTATTAACATACTTATTAAAATCTGAGGGCAGGGGTGGGCAAGTGTGAGGAGTGAGGCAATTACATTTTTCATGTAAAGCCCCTCCCTGAATTTCAGTGCCTTAGAACCCAGATAATCAGTGGCTTCTGATAGCTCTCTTCATCTGAAGGGAGACCTCCCTGACCAATTAACTGTTTGCCAGTTTAGTTCGCAAAACCTGAAATGCATTGCAAACTGCTGCCTCAACAGGAACCACAATGACCAAAATAATGCTCTCATGTGTGCTGAGGCTATTGTATAAGAATTATACCCACAACACCCAGACTCCTTTTCTTGCAATATAATAACATCTTAGTGCTTAGGTTCCTATTCAATCCAAAAGACACACTTTACAAAGTCCCCCTCAACCATTCGCATGCTTAGGATGTGATAAGCATACACTGACCTGGACAACCTTCTGAACATCAGAGAGACTAGTGAACTTTTTTAAACCCAGAAAGTCACTGCTTCTTCAGGCATTTTCATAGACTAAGAGAAAAAAAAAATACCCTTTCAAATGGTACAACACTGGGTACCAAGAGCAGTAAATTGGTAAGTGGTGATGTCCACAATATCTGATAGAGACTTGTAGTAAAATGGGGACTTTATTTTTAATAACGAAAGAGATATTGGTATTGGAACTAGTCATTGCATGAACTACATCTTACTAGTCCCAGCATGTACTAATGGTCACATAGGTATAGGTACTTGCAATTTGAATGTAACTATAGCTATGTAAAAAGGGGAGAGAGAAAGAGAGAGAGGGAGAGAGAGAGAGAGAGAGAGAGAGAGAGAGAGAGGAAAAACCCTGCTTATTTAAAAATAATAATAACACTAGTATTAAGTTAAAAGCTGCTCACCATATGTAAAGAGATACTTACCAGAGGAAATTTCATGAAGCAAGATGACTGTGAGAGGAATATATCCAGGAGTCGAGAAAATATTCCATGGTCTTCCAAAGCCTTTTAGGTCTGTGAGATGCAGAGCAGTAGGACTTGGAAGTATTCAGCTGTTCTTGGTTGCATTAAACCAACAGAGAGCCAGTTATTTGGGGGTCAAGATGCCCAAAGTAAAGAAGGCAAAATGTTAAAGAAGTGATTTTAACTGGGGATGGGTAGCAGTGGAGACCTTTTCTGTGATGATCCTCAGGCAAACAAATTTACCGAAATATGTGTCCCCACACAGTGAGAAAAGACAGAAGCTCGGTAAGCCACGAGAAAAAAGATGCGTAACACAAACAGATCTGCAAAGAGAAGTAGAAGGATGTGTTGAAGCTAGGGAGTATAGAACTAGTGAGCTAGGCTGTAGTCATCCTCGGAGTGCAGCAGCAATGATTTAGGCTGCTGGGGACGATCCAATGAGAATCCAGGAGAGCACCGCTTCGGAAATCCTGCAGGGTCTTCCCACTCAGCAGTTCTTTTCAGAGTTTACCTGCGCTGGGAACGCTATCATTAGGATTAATACTATTCCATCAGTGCCTTTCACTAGTAGTTCCCTGGAACCCCTTCCCTCGCAGCAACTGAAGGAGGCATAGTAAGAAAACCTGACATAACGCACACCCCAAGTAAGAAAGCAGAACGGTTCACATTGCCTTGATCAAATCGTCAGCGATTTTTGCATTGACAGAGACTGGGAGACGAATGGTTGAAGGTTCTAGTCGCTTGAAGGATTTGAGGGCGCTATGCTTTGGTGGGCTAGCAAGGGGACCCTGGAGTGGGTGATGGGATGCCTAGGCGGCAGCAGCTCCCCTAGGTTCCAGTTTCTTGATCAATCATGCTGTCTGTGTTTAAGGCAATTGATTTTAATCCGGAACCCCAGCGCCAAACCATGGTTTAAGAAGCTAGATTTTAGGACAGTCTGAGGACCTTCCCTGGTCCCTTGGGGGTGGGGTAGGAGAAATGCAGGAGCGGCAGTCTGTGCCCTGTCTGCCTTGCATTTGATTTCTGCAGTTACGGAGCTAAAGTAGAGAACCGGCTTTGCTGGGGATTGCATTGTTGTGTCATTTTCCTGTCCTGATACCGCATAAATGATCGCCTGATCAGCATATCGATTGGGTAAGATTAGCCTGATCCGTCTCCCTTTTCCTTTCTGTGACCCCATTCTTCCCCCCTCCTTAAACCTATTCCTCACCCCTTCTTTCCCTGCCCCCCGCCCCCGCCCTCTTGTCTCCCTCCCCCTTTTTCTCTTCTCTTCGAAATCAACTGCCACTGTGGAATTGCCTGTTTGACTGAAAGACTGATAACTCTGCAACTGATTTGTTTTTTGATCAAGGAATGAACGGCACCCCGCTGCTGAAAATCTTTTCTTAGGGAAGATTTTTGGTCCTCATCTTTAGGAATTATCTGAGTGACCCAGAAGATGTATAGAGAGTACAGTCAGATAGGAGTCTGTAGACCTGGACTCTAGCTCAGTTTTGCTCCGCATCCTGAAGCTTACAAATTATGCATCTGGAGGAGATAGTAACCTGGTCATAGATTTATTTCCTGTAGACACGGAGTTGCTGAATGATAGGAGGGCTAAGCATTTACATGAGTAAAAAATGTTCTTGGTAAGTAATTTTATTTTCTGCGGTTAAAAAGACAGCACATGGCTTCTCAGTAGCCCATCCCCCACCCCATTCATTCATTTCCTCTCTGAATGTAAATCACGGAGAAGCTGGGTCAGTGGAAATGTTCTTTTCCTCTTTACTGGGAGAACAGAAGCCAGCTAGTGTGGACTTGAAGTGAGAAGTGGCCTTTGGAGATGGTATCTGTACTTTCAGGTCCTTCCTATCATGTATGAAAACACTGGCAGGTAAAACAATCTTTTTTTAGTTAAGGATCATCCTCCCCTTTAACTCTTTCTTTTCTGGAGAGGAAGTGAACTAAGGGGTCAGCAGCTCATTTTTATTTATCCTAAAAAGAACACTTTAGCTATTAAAAAAAAAACACTCTTTCAACCATAATAATAAATTGCCATAGCTGTCTTATCACATTTTGCAGGAAAGATAATGCTACAAATCTCGCCTTAAGTGTGCATTTTAGTTTCAATTTTTTACATCTGATCCAAATGAGAATATCCCAAGTGAATATTTTCTGGTCAGGATGAAGCATTCTGGCTTGCCAAGAGTCTATAGCACCCCCACCTGTGCATGGGTATCTTCAAGAGAAAGCATGTGTGAGCTTGTGAAGAAGCTGGGCAGCTCTTGATACTACTGCTATTATATTCTGCTAAATGTGAAGAATAACAAGTCTTGAAATCTGTGTGAACTTGCATTGCAAGTGCGCACTGACTATTTTGGATACAAAATATCACAGGAGACTATCAAAGAAAAAGCATTGCAATTTTGAATTACAAAACACATTCCACTGACAAAACATTTACATTAAATTTTTCCACTGTTGTTAATTCTGGTATATCACCTTATGTTAAAATGACAATAATAAAAGATGAGCTAATTGATGCAGATACAGGCGTCTAATGCAAATAAGAGGGATTCAGCCTCAGGAAAAATATATACTATTGATTAAATCACACTTCTTTTATATTCATCACCACTGTGGAAATCTGTACTATAACCTACAGAAAGAAAGACAGCTAGTTGTCACACTACAAAGGAAAATAATAAAATGTGTGTGCTCTATAGTATTTATCATACCCAATCCGTCAAAGGCAAAAATTAAGTGAAAGCATGCTGTAACTTTTCTTTCTCTTTTCAGGATGCACACCTGCTCTAATAATGCCACGGTGTAGAAGTTTTTCTTCTTTGTCTCCTTTTCCAAAATGGATCAGTGTTGTGTTTATTATAGAGGCTGAAAATTTGTGCTGAGAAAAATCTGAGTCCACCTAAAGAGAATCAACATCCTGAGATATGTTTATTACAAATACAGTATAACAACACTAGAGTATAGAGAGCACACTTCCTTGTCACAAGGACCACATTATGTTGTCCAAAAGCATTTATCTAACAGACTGTGAAGATGAACGTGTGTTTATGAGGACTGAATCTGGCTTAAGTAAGAACACTGAAGCAAAATTTTACTTTATATCCATCCATAGTGATGCACACTTGTATTCTGTGATTTCAGAAGTCTAGAACCGAGACATAAGGACTATAATCTTAATGCCAGGCTAGGTTATGTAGCAAGACCTTGCCTCAACAAATAAACGTGTGTGTGTGTGTGTGTGTGTGTGTGCCTCTGTGTAAAAGAAATGTAATGTTTATCAAAAAAGGTAGGCTCTGATCTATGGAATCTCAAGCCTTGAGGTTTTCATCACTGTAAAATATGTTCAAGTGGATAAACTTTATTACTGTTTTCCTGCTGGAACAGGCTAAGTTTTAATTTTACTGAATAGTGGTATATATTATGGTATATGTTTCTTAAAGGTCCAAACATAATAAAGGTATGAAGCTAAAAAAAAAGAAATGTAATGTTGTTCCTTAAAATTGAAAATAGGCCTGGAGAAGAAACGTTTATTTCTTTGAATCTTAGTTTTAAAACTTTATGAAACTTTTGTAATATTTCATTATTATACATTTCCATGATCAAATACGATATTAAACATAACTTACTTAACTAAACTCCCATAGTATCACAGACATTACATCCACTATCTTGTTCCTTTAGAGCAAGTTGATTATTACAATGACTTTAAAAGCTAGCTAATTTACTTTCAAGTTGAGAGCATTTCTTCTTGCATTTTACTGCATTCACGTGAGGTTATTCATTTAGCAATCTTCATATTAGTGATGGGTATTCCTTGACTCCCTGTCTCTTTTATCTTTATAGCTGCAAATCAATAAATTTCACCCATTACCTCACTAAAATTCTGCCAAGAGATAGAAAATAGCAGTATATCTTGTTCTGAGTGTGGTTGGATTTCTTGATTTGATGTTCAGAACATCCCCCTCCATTGTGTGTGTGTGTGTGTGTATGTATAGTGTTGTCTATGGTCTCTTCCCACCATGTGGGCTACCAGGACTGACCTAAACTTTAGGACTTGGTGGCAAGTATTCACTCTGCTGAGCAGTGTCACCAGTCTCCTCAAAGTAAATATTTTATTAAGGAAATCATGTTGCAATTTTCTTGTAAAGAAAAATATTTCCATGTTCCATGTTATTTTTAACATTAAATCTAATTTATAGCAAAAATATGAAAACATAATGCTAATAAAGGATTCTTTTCCATATATATTTACCTATATAGGTATGTGTGTATGTATACATGTACACATAATGTATATATATATATATATTCAGATTGTTACTTAAATGTAAAAGAATCATATTTGACACAAATTTATGCATGCATAGTTGTCCTCATTAAGATATTGAAATTTATTCACTTTAGTCTCTTTGCTGTGTATATCATGTCTTCAGAGCTTTCTTGTTGAAAGTATCCAGTTTCTTTAGTACCTCTGGGTACTAAATACATTTAATTGTATGAGATCAGTAAGCTGGTAAATAAATGGAGTCTGTGCATTGAACTCTTAAATAAAAAGTATTGGAACTTGATGATCTATAAAGACCATTTACTTTGTTCTCTCATACTTATGAAGAAACTGAAAACTACAAAGTGACATGGTTATTGTCAGCATATGCTAACTAGAGATCTAAGGGATTAGTGATGCTGTTTTCTGGGGTTTTCAACTACTGTGAATTCTATATCAATTAAATATTTATCAGTTTTTACAGCTGGCATATTTGAGGTTAAGATAGAGAATAAGTGAAAGAAGATGGAAAAAAAAAACCCTGCAAAACCAACAAGGTGGAGCTAATTACCTTAGAGATTTTAGGAAGCTACTAACTCCATTTCTGCTCCAACTTTCCCTGCAGACACTCTTCCACTCCCATCTGAGGAAGAAGTTTAACACAGAATGCTGTTTTCTCCCAGAGTGCCTTCAGTGTTTTCTTTGTATATGTTTTGGATTGTCTTTAGACTATTTTTCCCTTACACTATAAATTGTAGAAAGTCTAGCTACCTGGAAAATAACACTCCATTAAACCACATCTGATTTACCTTCAAATCCTCATAAAAAATGGGGTATTGCAATGAGAGAAACATGATCCAATGAGTCTCATATAAAAGATATATGATATTGGGAGCTCATCAAGGCCAGCGGGACTGGGACTGAATAAGCATGGGATGAAACCGGACTTTCTGAACGTGGCGGACAATGAAGGCTGATGAGAAGCCAAGGACAATGGCACTAGGTTTCGATCCTAATACATGAACTGGCTTTGTGGCAGCCTAGCCTGTTTGGATGCTCACCTTCCTGGACCTGGATAGAAGTGGGAGGACCTTGGACTTCCCTCAGGGCAGGGAATCTTGACTGCTCTTCATTCTCATGAGGGAGGGGGAATAGAGTGTGAGGTGGGGGGAGAGGCGATGTGTGCCAGGAGGGGTAGGGAAATGGGATTTTTTTTTGCAACAACTAAAAATAAAATAAAATAATAAAAAAGAAATTTTATTGGAAGCATGCATAACAAAACAACTTTTATCAAAACAATTAAAGAAAACCTTTCAATTTATAACAAAGAAAGAAAACCTTAGTCATTTAAAATTTCTCAATTTTCTGGAGATCAGGAAGCCATTAAAATTTACTTCAATTTTTTACATATGTCAATATTTGAGCATTTTATGCAAGTATTTATTTACTTTTATTTATGCAAGGGACAAATTTATATATGCAAGCAAAGTGAATATGAGTATCATAATCCATTTGCCAAATGTGAATTATACAGTAACAACATTAACAAAAATAAACTCTAAATATTTTTGTTTGTTTCTTTGTTTGAGACAGGAATTCTCTGTGTACCCCATCCTGTTTTGGAATTTACTCTGTAGGTGAGGCTGACCTCAAACTCAGAAATTCACCTGCTTCTGCCTCCAAAGTGCTGCGATTAAAGGAGTGTGACAGCAATGCCCCGTAAACTATAAACCATTTTTGTTGTTGTTGTTCATCTTTTTTTCTTTTTTTTAAATTTTTTATTAAAAAAAATTTTTTTCCGCCTCCTCCCAGCCTCCCATTTCCCTCCCCCTCCTCCTGCCCCTCTCTCCCTCCCCCTATTCCTCTCCCTGTCCCTCCTAGGTCCAAAGAGCAGTCAGGGTTCTTTGCCTTATGGAAAGTCCAAGGTCCTCCCCCCTCCACCCAGGTCTAGGAAGGTGAACACCCAAACTGGCTTGGCTCCCAAAAAGCCAGAACATGAAGTAGGATCAAAACCCAGTGCCATTGTCCTTGGCTTCTCATCAGCCCTCATTGTTCGCCATGTTCAGAGAGTCCGGTTTTATCCCATGCTTTTTCAGTCACAGTCCAGCTGGCCTTGGTGAGCTCCCAATAGATCAGCCCCACTGTCTCAGTGGGTGGGTGCACCCCTCGTGGTCCTGACTTCCTTGCTCATCTTCTCCCTCCATTTGCTCCTCATTAGGACCTTGGGAGGTCAGTCCGGTGCTACAGTGTGGGTCTCTGTCTCTATCTCCATCCATTGCCAGATGAAGGTTCATATCCAGGAGGATAACTATATGTTTTTCTTTGGGTTCACCTATTTATTTAGCTTCTTTAGGATCCCAGATTATAGACTCAGTGACTTTTTTTTATGGCTAGAAACCAATTATGAGTGAGTACATCCCATGTTCATCTTTTTGGGTCTGGGTTACCTCACTCAGGATAGTGTTTTCTATTTCCATCCATTTGCATGCAAAATTCGAAAAGTCATTGTTTTTTACCGCAGAGTAGTACTCTAATATGTATATATTCCACACTTTCTTCATCCATTCTTCCATTGAAGGACATCTAGGTTGTTTCCAGGTTCTGGCTATTACAAATAATGCTGCTAAGAAGATAGTTGAACAAATGCTTTTGGCATCTCTTTGGCATATTCCGAAGAGTGGTATTGCTGGGTCCAGGGGTAGGTTGTTCATCTTTTTTTCAATTCTTGGCCTTACCGATTTAAAATGTTTAAGTTTAAAATACCTTTTACAACTTCTGGAATCATGGCTATTTTTTTTTTTTTTGAGTAGAGTTTGTACTGCTGAATGTGTTTGTGTGCTTAGTAAGTCCTTGCATGCATATGATTGAGTATGGAGTTGACTGCATTTCAAACAACATACTGTCAACTACTGTTGACAACTACTGTTGTCAACTACACCACATGAAAAAAAATCACAATTGTGTTTTCTTATCACTCCCCTCCATATTCCTGTTATCTAACACTACCCAGCACAGTGGAAAACTTCAATAAATGCTCATTTAAAGGCTGAAACTAAGTACTTCATTAAACTCTCCAGCATTTTAAATAATGCTTGGTGTAAATAAGTTACCTAATTACTTAGAAATATGGTTACTGCATAAAAGATTCTTTTTCAAAAATATTTCTCCAGTATTTGTTATACATTGACCTAGCGAGCCAAGCCCTGTTAGGAATGACAGTCTTCATAAACAAGTCTATGACTTATAAATAAATGTGTCACTAGGCAAGATATGAACTTGATTTTTTTACATGCTGTGAAGTAAAATAATGCACTTATTTGGAAATGAAGAAGCAAGATATAAGGAAGTTGAAGATGAGTTATTAAGTTCTGTCTTAATCTTTATTTTTCTTTGTGCTGTGAAAACACATCATACACTGGATGACTTAGACGGTAGAACCTTATTTTCCTCAGAAGCAATGATTAAGAAATCCCAGGTTAAGTTGATTGTAACTGTGGTCCCAGGAGAGCATCTACTTTCTGCATTGCAGATAGAAGGCTTACTGAATATTTATAAAGCCTTTCCCATCAGTACCAAAAAAAAAAAAAAAGAAGGCAAAGTAGAGAGAGTAAGAGAGATAACAGCAGTCTTTTTATTTATTTCACGTATCAAAATATTTAATAACTGCTCCTCCAAGTGCCATTACACTGCAAATTTGATTCCAATGTTAGGATTACACAGTGAAACCAGTTTATAAGAAGACTACTAGAAATGCCAGTATGGGCAGGGAAACCTGTTAGGCAAGAACTCTACCTAAAGGAATACTCTTAGACAATTAAGAAATGCTGCAAACAGGAGAAATATTCTCCACAGGGAAGAGCATACCAATTCATTATCTAATACTAAAAGTCAACCCTAAAAACATTACATAGAAGTGACATTATACAGATACAGTGGTATATATGAATTTTATATTCATGCAACAACAATTAAGGAAAAGAAAGACCAAAAATGTGAAAAAAATTGCAAGAACAGAGAGGTTGGAGGTTTTTGAGGCAGAAGCGTTACAATTATATTATGATCTATAAAATTAGAAAGATAAATTAGTGAAATGTCACTGAATTCTTTATTTTATTAATTTATTTTTTGTTCTTTTTACGTGTGTGTGTGTGTGTGTGTGTGTATGTATGTATGTATGTGTATGTGTGTGAGTGCCTGTGAGTTCAAGTGACCAGAAAAGCCATATGCTTTGGATACCTCTAGTTCGGAACTAGAAACAGGTTTTTGCATGGAACCAGACACTGGTGTCAGAAAGAGAACTCTGGTCCTCTGTAAGAACAGTATTCACTCTTAGCCACTGTTCCAGCAATCCAGTGTTTTATTTTAATTCTCTAAATTGTATTTCTTCCAGTGTTGAAGAGAAAAATTAAAGTGGGAATATTAATTTTAATTGATTTTGTTAATTACATTAACTTGTTCTGCAACTCAGTTATTTATTAGCTTTTTAGAAACAAAATATATTAAGAGAAAATAAAATATTGTAATTATCTAAATTATAAAGCTAGTTTATATAACATTTTTGCTGTTTGGAATTTATAGAATTAACACATTTGATATTGTCAAATCATCTTATTAGTAAACATCAGTATTTCAATATATTCACATCCTAAAAATCAAAAATTGTGAATGTTGTCATTTGAGACAAAAACAAATTTACAAATTTTATAGTACGCACCTTATGATGCATAAGTCATTCTTGTTTATTACCATAAATCTCAATAAAATAGGAGCACAGGATATGAGTCAGAAATGATGGAATGAGCAGGATATTGGCTGGAGTAATTTGGCGTTAGGTAGGCCAGGTCATTCTGTCTGAGAACCTTCTAGAATCTGGAAAATAAAAGGAAATAGATCTTCCTTTGAGCTTTTAAAAGCAATGTAATCATTAGATGTTGAAAGAAAAGAAAACATACTATTTTCTACAAATAAACTGAAGCATTGAGAACTTATAAGATTACATTAATTTATTTCAAATTCAATACTTAGCACAGAACTTTATTTATAGTCAAAATAGTGCCAGTATATCAGATACATCCCTTAATTAAGTCAGAGTAGGAGAGATGGGGGATAGGAGGAGAAAATGAGAACCCTATTTGATTAATTGAAGACTGTATGGAAAGTACCAATTCCAGGATGAGAACAAGAGAGTAAGCTTGGAAGGATTAAGTGCAGATACTGTTGAGATTTAAAAAGTATTTTTTTTGTTGTTTTTTTTTTTGTTGTTGTTGTTGTTTTGTTTTTCGAGACAGGGTTTCTCTGTGGCTTTGGAGCCTGTCCTGGAAATAGCTCGGTAGACCAGGCTGGTCTCGAACTCACAGAGATCTGCCTGCCTCTGCCTCCCGAGTGCTGGGATTAAAGGCGTGCGCCACCAAATGAGACAACAGGAGAATAACAGATGTGGATGAGGGGAGTATATTTGTAAGGAGATAGTGGCATGCAGCAATTTATTTCTTTTCTCCTTGTGCTTCTTACAGTGTACAATCAAGAAAGCTAACTGAACATTTACTTAATTAGGATGCATCATTACTTTTGGTGTCTGGTGAACTCTAAAGGCCTTTCCCCTCTTTAATGAAAATAAAGAGAAGCTGAACTACTTGATTGCTAATTCTCTTGGTTTCTCTAAGTCTTGCTTATACTTGTCCTTTCTTTTTTATTCTGAAGAAAATCTTGCAGGAGGATTGCAAACAATTCTTCATATTTGTCATTCAGTTTTGGCACTGTGGAGGATTTATGAATATATAAACAAAAATATTGTTAAAAGACTATATAAAATTCATTCCAAATTTATGGGATAAGACTAAGTCTAATAAAAGTCTATTTGATATTTACAGATAATTTATTCAATATCATTTATGAACAGTATCTGAAAAGAAAACAAGATTTCAAGTGTTTCAAGTCTATTGAAACAAGTTACAATGGTATAGTTCTAGATGGAGAATAAGGTAAGCACATAGATAAATATGAGTATTTTTGCTCCTCTCTATTTTACCTACTTAATCATCATTTTTAATAAAAGAAAACTAGTGTATTGATGTCATCTGTAGGCTATATGGTAGAATACTAGCAGAAGCTAAGTAGAGTATAAATATTAACATATCAATCCATAGACAATTACAGAATATAATAACCTTAGAATCAAATATCACGGCTTCCATAGTATTTGAATTTCTTTACCCAAAGCTTTAAACCTAGCTTAAATTTTCTTAGACTTTAATAAGAAATAATTGAAATAAAATGGAATTTTATTTCATATTGTGAATTCTATAGTTGAGAACTAAAAATAAATTAAAGTTTGTTTCTTTTCCCCTTTTTTTTTTCTTACATAGAGTTCAGATAAGTTCCTAGAATGGCTTTGGTGTTCTGATTCGCAAGGTTTCGGTGATCCAGTAAGGCTTCCTCTCATGGCTCACCATGTACCAAGTCTAAATCTTTCAGTTACAGGAGGCAAGTGCGGACTAAAAACAACTTGACGTCTCTGTTAGGAAATTTGATAGACATTCAGAGTCCAGTAAGCAAATTTCACAGAACCACACACAGCTACAAAAGAAATTTGGACATTAAAGTTGTTGTTTCTCTCTAGAAAGATGAAGGCAACAAAAAGAAAACAACATGCTACATTGATGTCATCATACAAAAGTATTTTTCTAAATTATTAAAGCATCAAAATGTATATTCAATGAAGAGTGAGGAAATTCTAAGAGTCTTCTCTGAATAAGTCAGATAGGAAGCTTAAAAAGTGAGTCAAGTAGGAAAGGTAATCAAGGGAAACTAGACCATATTAGAATTGAAAGTGTACTTTACAGATATTTAGTACTTAGTTAATACTTCTTAAAGGAATAAATAGCTATTTTCCATACTTATGCTCACAAAAAAACTCTGTGTTATTCACCTAAACATACACATGCTAACACACCTCAAATGTATACACAAAGTTAATCTAGATGCGGGCACTATATATTTTACACAAACATTGTCAAAATAGATGACCAACTTAAAGTAAAAAGAATAGTCTATACAAGTATGCAAAGCAGCATATATAAGTATCTAGATGATCTTGGGTTTGGAAAAATTATGATATAACAGCTAATAAATAATTTATGAAAAAATGGTTAAGTTGAGCATCATTGTACTCAAGGTCAAAGTTAGTCATTTCACTAATATAATTTCTTTTTTTTCTTATAATCAATCATGGATGGCATTCACTGTCAGTTTATCTCTTCACAAGCAAAACATCTTACAGGTAACTGGGTAATATGCATGCATGAATCAAAAACTACAGGCTTTGCATGTGCTAAGTAAGTATGATCTTACCACCTATATTTCCAGCCTGAAAATAACTTCATTCTGATTTTTGTTATTTTGGTAATTGCATCACCGTATGACCTATTAAAGATTTGTGCTTTTAAAAATATAAACATACAAAAAATAACTGAAACATGTTTTTTTTTTCTTCTCTCATTGTTGATTGACAATCAAATATAGAGGAAGCAGGTTTTATGTGACTGTAAAGTGCAATATTTTAGGATTCCTTTTATTTCCTACATTTCATACATTGGTGAAAGAGGAGGGCAGACACAAGTTAGCAAGCTATGTATGTAATCAAACCAATGATAAAAAGATTCTTTCATTGCAAAAAAGAATTAACATGGATACAGGCTTGAAGAAAAATTTTCCAAAGGACATATGTAGTAATTAACTAGTATGAAAATATACAAGTATCATATAAAACTTAGCAATCATAAAGGAAATCAGGTGAAAATAGACAAAGATTTGAAGAAAAACATCCATATCCCCGGATAGCCGTGAACTCACAGAGATCCACCTGCCTTACCTCCTGAGTGCTGGGAATAAAGGTGTGTGACATCACTGCCCAGCCAGAAACATACATTTCAATTTAAAAAACAACTAATTTTTGGCTGTAAGGTGAAAATACAGCTTATAAGAAAGTGGCTAAATTTAAAAGTGCTTTCTGGTTTTTTTGATGCTGCTCCTAAAGGAACCATAGCCACCCTGTGCAAATACGTCCCTGAGTGATGATAGTATTTTCACATAATATAATCATTGCTAATAAAGTATCTACAACAGTATAAAAGGCAGTAAGAAATAATATATCACATGAATGTTGATAGGCTAGATTTTATTCAATTATAATATATTTTTGAGTTTTTAATTCATGAGTACTGTATTTGTATTCTTTCCTACTTATACTTTATTTCATCTTCTCACATTTACTACCTTCTCCATCCCTCTCAAATTTATAATCTTTTCTTTCCTTCTTCCATAAACACACATACACACACACACACAAATATGTTTAGCACTGGCCGCCTGATATTAGATACTATATCAGGGAATGAGGGAAAGACTGATTCTTCCCCTCTTGGTAACCATAAATTGTCTGAAGTTCTTTATATAGGAGTGATGCTTTATGGGAAGACTCCTATTCATGCAGGAATGTCAGTTAATCTTGTCATTAGGCAGGTATTGTTCAGGTGACGATATTGTTAAGATTTCATGGGCTCACCTTCCTGACAAATATAAAGACACTATCTAGCCACAAGTTTCCTGGTCCTCCTCCATTTACAATCTTCCTACCCAGTCTTTCACAATGTTTTCTGAGCCTTAGGTATTGGGGTTGTAATGTAGAGACATTCACAATTTGGAACAGGGGCTGGGCACTCCATGTTATATATCCTTGCATTTTAACAAGTTGTGAATTTCTCTGATGATGTTCTCTGTTTGCTGTGAAAGGAAACTTCTCTGGGGAAGAGTTTGAGCTATGCTTTCTGTGTATATAAGGATAGGAATTTAGAGCAGTGTTGGGATACACTGATTTAGAATGGGGCCATTGTTGGGTATCCTTTATGTTCTGTGGCTTCTCCAGACGGGAGCAGCTCTGCATCACTGAAGTAACCTCTGTCTCCCACAGAAAGAAGTTTTTTGGATGAACAATGAGAGCTACATTGATTTGCATGGAAAGGGGAGTATTCATTCACTATGTTTGAAATTGCAAACGAATGAAAATACTATGGAAATGAATATGGGCAAATTTCCAGGAGCTAAAAGTAGATATCTGTGACCCACTATATCATCCATGTTCATATGCTTTAAGGGTTCAACCTTCAAGTCAATACATACTTAGTTATGTTCATTGCCTCTCTGTTAACAATTCCTAGAAATTGGTTACAACCAAAATGTTCTTGAGTTAATGAATAGATAATGAAATCTTCAGGTGTATGACTAGAACTGGAACGTATATCGAATGAGATAACCTCGACCCAGAAAGAAAACCAGCTTATGTTTTCTCCTATTTCTTGACCCTATTCCTAAACTTTTAGATGGTAGAAACCAGATATCAGTGAAGTAAAATTGATTGGGAGTCTCTAGAGAGGAAGATAGATAACAGGTGAAGAATGAAAACAGGGAGAGGGGCTTTATCTATAGAGGTAGCCAGAAGGGAAATACAGAAAGAAGGAAAAAAAAAGGGATGAAGAACACTATAGATGATTGAAAAGCCATAAAGAAGCACAGTTTTTTTTTAGTTAAACTACATGTGTGTGACTGTGTTCCTGTATGTATATATATTTAAGTGAAATTATGACACTTGAAGTAAAAATTCTACCCCCAAGAGCCAGAGACTTTCTAACAAAAATCTCTACAGCCAAGTTTGAAGAAACTTCTGTTTGAGGTGGTGTTAAAAGGGTTCAAGCGACCCCTCCAAAACCAGTATAGGCTATTGCTATTGTCCTTGGGCCCATTCCAGAACTTGAAGGTAACTCTCTATTATGAGGACACTGCACACTTTGGAGACATGACATGGTGGAATCCATCTGCAATTTCCCAGGAAGCCTCCTCAGAGAGGAGTATCAGAAGGTGCCATGTAAGCTGACGCAGAAGAAGTCTGTAACCCCGAGCTTGATGCTAATCTATGAAGAAAAGGTAGTACCTGACGACTGTCGAGGAGTGAAGACAAAGAGCTTATGGTAGCTCTATCTGCATCTGTCTGTTCTCTTTTGGCTGACTCTGATTAGTTTGGTTTTTAGGATAGCACTAATTTCTGTCCATTTTTACCAGATTATTTTTTCTGTGATTTTATGGTATTTGAGTTATTTCTTTTGCACATTTTGTGAAGATAATAAAAGTTTTCATACTGTCCAATGGAAGAAAGAAAGAAAAAGAAAATAATTCAGCCTTATGTTGTTAAAAAATGCAAATTAAGAGGCCACTGAACCACAACAAGTACATTCATTACAACAGCTAAATTAAAATAAAACAAAAGAAAATTGTAAGAGGTGCATTTTTTTTCTTGCTGGTTGGTACCCAAAATGACAGACATTTTGAACAATAGTTTTCAGAGTCTCATGAAATTCAGTTTTTTTTTTATCATTCAGTTAAACAACCACATATTTTGCCATATTTCTCAGTAGCTTAAATGCATGCACACAAACTACCTGTAGCATTTTTTCACTTGTCACAATTTGGCAACACATAAGGTATCCTTCGAAAAAGTGAATACAGAAGCAAGTCATCTTAGTTTAATATTATATAATTCAATGTGTAAAGAACTAGCCATCAAATTAATTATTAAGTGGAGAAATCTTAAGTGAATATCATTTAATGATATAGAAACATACTATGTGATTACAAACATGATATTTTGGAATGTACAAAAATATAAAGATACAAATCTGTCAATGATTTATTGGTGCTTGAGATTTGATAGTGACAGTGGGAGAGAATATTATAATTGGTAGGCTTTGAGGGATGCCTAATTCTATCCAAATTTGGCTAATTAATGATCTTTATTGTCTTTGATGAATTAACAATACTTAATCTAACACTACTTATTAAAGTATAATTCATTTAAAATACACCAGCACCTGATAATCTTCTGCTTTTAAGATGAATTCTCTAGTTCATTGTCATGTAATCAAATGTTAGACTAAATCACTTTTAATTAATTTATTTTTTTCTGCATCTTTGTCTGTCTATTATGTGCAAGTTGGGGTTTGTGGAGGCCAGAAAAGACATCAGATCTCCTGGAAGTGGAGTTACAGATGATTATGAGCTACCATGTAAATATTGAGAGTATCACAAGGTCTGTGGTAAGGGCAGCCTGTGTTTGTCACTACTGAACAGTATCTCCATTCCCATAGCGGAAATTCTTCTCAGGTCCATTTCTTTAGCTTATTTATGATTAGATAAATTTCTTGATATTTTGTTTTCTGTCTGGTATCGTTTCCTTCTAATCACCTCTAAATGTATGTCTTCAAACTTGTTCTTTCATGACCTCCCAGAGCCCATACTCTCTTCTATTAAACAAATATTACTAGGTAGTGTAACAGCCTTTATATTGAAATGGATCAGAATTCAGCGCTGTACCTAGTTCTTTTTTGACTTATCCAACTCCATTTGCCCATTGTTCAACTAACAAATATCTACACTTGATGTCATCTTTAAAAGATTTCTTAAGGACTCTGTGATGTCTCTCTTTTTATAGAATACTTACCCCAAACTGGAAGGTATTTATCAACAGATTATTGAAAGTACCTTGCACAACTGGATGATGTTGCTGATTCATACTAACTTGTAAATGTGGGAAGAGGTTTGAGTCATAATGATTTTTCTTTCCTTTTCTTGAAATTCTTTGGAGTTGTCCTTCAATTTCCACAGCAAATATTCATTTCAAAAAGTGCATGATGATTGTCCAATCTAATTATATACTTTATTTAACTCTAATTGAGTTCTAAAGATTACAATTGAACTACTGTAACTATTCATGCTTTTATTCACACTGTTGTACATTGTCATATAATACAGATAATTAAATTAAACACTTGAAATTACTAATAAGAGAACATATTTCCTTAGTATGCATTGTAAAAGGAAATAAGCTTACACTTTTAAAGTAAGAAAATTTTCTCAAATATTATAAACACAAAAATTAGATTTTTAATGTATTGTATGTAATTCTGTTA